TAATAATAATAATAATAATAATAATAATAATAATAATAGCCACAACTTATCTCCAAACTACAGAGATCTGTTCCAATGGAGAAAATGGCGGCTTTGGAGGGTGGATTCTGTGGGATTATACCTTGCTGAGGTCTCCCCCCCAAATCTCCAGGAATTTACCAACCTGGAGTTGGCAACCCTAGCATAAGGGAATTCACAGAGAAAAGAAAGGGGCGAGATATGTTCCATGAACTCATTCTATGTGTGGTTGATAGAGTTCCCTCCCCCAATTAGTTCTACAAGTAATCACTCCCTTACACCTAAAATAGCAAGATGGACTCATATAAAACTGCCAGTTGTCAAAAACAGTCTATTTTTATCACAAGGTTTCTATCAATAATAATCATTGTTCCTTTTGCCTATTTAGAATTCAAATAAAAAGTGAATAATGGGCATTTCTGCAGAATCCAGCACATTTTGATGACTGGGAGTTGTGCAAGAAGCAGTAGATGTTCCCTTACACATATTTCCCACTTATGTCAGTGGTATTTATATTTTATGTCGAAGAGGTTCCTGATGGATTGTGCCTGAAGGAAACTGGTTTGAACATGTTGATTCAACAGTTATCACAAATATTTTATGGCTTTCTCTAGCTGTGCTGAAATTTCATGAATGTGGAAGACTAGTCAACAACTAATTCTAAACAAAAGGTTGATACATTTTGATTTTTAAGAAAGAAGCTTACAAACTGGCCAACTGTTCCTCAAGATATTATTTTTATGGTCCATTGATGCAAAACACAGAGGGAAACATTTTCTGAAGGTTTTATCTCTTTGACTTGTAAAATACAGTTTCTTCTCTTGAAGAAATGTGTCAGGGTCATGGAACTACTTCAGTGATTTGTGCATAGTCAGGAGCTCAGAAATATTCAACATTTAACCACTTTGTTTCCTTCAGTTTCTATGAACTAAGCTGTGGCTCGGATTCTTCTCCTCAGTCATTTTTTCCCCAGAGGGGCACAGCTTGAATACACTCAGGCTTTAATAACAAACTTAATCCAGGCCCTGGTCTCATGGGCCGGATAACGCAGAGGGGAGGCGTGGCTATTTGTGGCACCGCAATTTAACATGCCATAACGCAATCCCACATGTCGGAGGCATGCCACGGTACCTTCCCTCCACGTCACGGAGGGAAAAGCAGTGTGCCGGCGCGATCACACCGACACATTCCGGAGGCAGCCCATGGCAAACCGGTTGCTACTACTGTTGACCAGGTATTTTTTAAATCTGCATTTTCGGTGGTATGCCACGGGTTGGCCACGGGTGCACGCCACTTGCCAGATGTTGCGGTGTGATCGCACCTGGAAACTCCGCCATTCAATCGTGGCTCTCCCACGGCAAATTCGCTGTGTGAATAGTTGATATATTAGTGATTTATAAACTGACTGGAAATGTGCCTTATTGACTTCAGAGTGGTTCAGGTTAGCTGTTGGGAAAAGTTGGGGTATCATAAGTGTATTGGCCAAAATAGATGCTCCCCCACTTTTGTTGTTCTCCAGTGGGAACTATTAATGTGTTTTAGCCTTTTGTAGGGGTCTGCTTTGATTCTGCATGTGGTGTTAGCTAGATGAGGGGGTTACCGCTTGAAGAACTGAAGACAGTCTGGGAATGGAATATTTAATCAGAGTAGCCTCTTCCTACTAAACAAATGTTCATAAGAGATAGTTGATAGGGGTTATTCGTGTACATGTCTGTGTTTGTATATGATTGCATATGAGTATGTGTGGATGTCGTCATTGGACGGTCCTTTTGATTAGTAGCACATTTCCCCAGAAACAACAACAAAATACCCACACACAAATGTTAATCTGAGGAAGTTTATGAGTTGTATTCAGTATCATAGGTCTTTCCCACATTTCCCTTCCTCTAGCAATCCTTTCTGATCTGAGGAGTTGGTATATAATGCAGAAAAGCATACTAATTTGTCATATCAAACTATGCAACTATTCCCGGGGTTCCACGCAAGAAAGGAGGCTGCAGTGGGCAGGGAAACAAAATTGCCCTTTTTGTCTCTTCCATCAGTGCAGCTCTGTTGAGGGGGGGAAATTTTGCCTCCTTCTGTTGCCCCGCTGCAGCCACCTAACCTGGTCCTGTGACTCTGAGAACAAACTTTATTAGGGTCAGAAAGGAGTGGTGAGGAGAAGGGAATGTGAGGAATGTGGGAAAGATCTGAGAATTCTTGTGTCCACAGATCTGGGTAGGGTTGCCAAATGGGGCCGGGGGGCAGGGAATCCCCCGCTTTGGCGGCCCGATTTCTGACACAACAGAATCGGCCCCTGGGGGAAAACCCATCCCCGCGTGCACGTCACCCGGATGTGACGTCGCACGCTGAGGGCGGGGCCACAGCCATTTGAGGGGAAACATAGAGTTTCTATGTTTTCCCCTCAAATGGCTGTGGCCCCGCCCCCAGTGTGCGACGTCACATCCGGGGGACATCCCCAGGAGTCCCCCGCCGAGGAGGTGAGTACCATTTGGCAACCCTAGATCTGGGGCAACTTGCACAAAGTGGCCACAGACTGCATAATATTTTGGTTTACAGGGAAAACCCTGTAAACTCCAGGAAAGACTCTCTGAATACAATTCGTGTTGAGATAGTATAATATTTATTTTAAATGGTGGGTTGATTAATTGATCAGTTGAAAGCACGACAGCTAATTGACTGTAACCTTAGTAAGTTGATTGCCCTCTAGCCAGGACCACTCTTTTCTGTCTTTGGGTGAATTTTGTCTGTTTAACACATCAATTTGGGAGGTACATTGGCTTAATTCCATTTATCTTTGTATGTATTAATTACATGTATATGCTTATTCTCAGTATTGTAATATGTAATGTACAATAGAAATAGTCGTCTGTCTATTCATAACTGGGATGCACCATTAATTCCAGCATGCAACAGGGAACTCTGAATATTTTTCTCGTAATTATTTCTTTTCCCTGTTTCCATTTCCATTTCTCTCTCTCCCCCCATATTTTCCCTTTCTCTTTAAAAGCCTTAACAACAAGGGCAAAAAGGGGGAGTGGTGGTGGGGATAGTGGTCTCAGTGGTGTGACCCACTACAAGTTGGGCTGTGATCCAGTTTTGGATGTTTTTATTTATACTGGTCTTTTGGCCTAGGAGTTTAGAATTTAGAGTTAAGGAATTTAAGTGTAAAGTCTGCCTAACTAGTGCCACATTTGCCTTCTCTGTTAATCCACATATTCATATTTTAAAAGGCCCTGTAAGAATAATACATTTTTAAAAAAATGTTAGCTGTTTACATGGGTACAAATGTGAATTATAAAAAAAAAAATTGGCTGTTTACATGGGTACAAATGTGAATTAACATGGTAACAAAAGAGAAGTTTCAGGTAACTGAGGGGAATTGGAATGAATTTGTCTGGGGGACAGATTTAGAGCTCAATGTAGCTAAAATAGCATGCACCTATTTGTTACTATATGCAACAACATTGCTTGCAGTTTGGAATTCAGTAAATTTGAGTTGTTATATAATGCAGAAAAACATACCTGTCATATCAAACTGTGCAACTATTTTCAGTAGTAGGCAAATGTTCAATATGAAATCAACCATTCCAGAATATTTAGACGTGAGTGCCAGCCATCAGATTTCTTCTTTCTACTATCCTTGCATAAGGGAAGTTTCAGAAAGCATGTTAGTAACACTGATAACCACATTGATTTCAGAGGCACTGCTCTGTGTGTATCTATTTGTGTGACTCAGTGCTTTGATGCATTAGAACTGGGTGAGACCAGTCTTTATGCATGTGTTCCATTTAAGCAGACAGTTTTAAAGAGGTATTAATTTGCTGGATAAACCAGAGAAATATTGCACATGTTATGAAAACTGACTGGCTAAACACAATCTGTCTTGTTCCTCCAGATTCTTCTTGAAATTCTTCCTTAAATGTAACCAGAACTGCCTAAAAAATGCAGGAAACCCTCGAGACATGCGGAGATTTCAGGTCAGTATCCCTTCTTCCTTTGTGATTAATTGTATTTTGAAGATGTGGATTAGAAATAATTTCAACCAATGTAACCTGGCTTTCGAGCAAGGGAACCTTTACCTTTACTAACCTGGGTAAATACTTGGTGTATTCTAAGAACTGAACACAGGAACACATGTGGCTGCCTAAGTCAGGCCATTGGTCCGTTGAGGTCAGTATTATCTACTCTGATTGGCAGTAGCTCTCCAGGGGTCTCTCATATCACATATGCTGGGGATTGAACCTGGGACCTTCTGCATGCAGAAGAGCAGGGCTGACCAGAGTGTTTTTGGTGCCCTAGGTGAACCTTGATCTTCCTCCCCAATAGAAAGAAAAGTGAGCTGTTTGTAAGCATCCATTTGGTGGAAGCTACAGCATGAATGTGAGCTCTGTTAGCTCAAGGAAGCAACAAATGAATGGAGTCACAAGCTGCAACCACTGCCAAACACCCCCAGCAAGATTTCTAGTCTTTCTGACTTGGGGCAGGGGAAATATGGGCAGCTGCAGCAGTGTCCCTTCACTTTTTGCTTGCTTCCAAGGCAAGTAAAGAGCGACTGGACCCTGTCATGATCATGCCCAAGCTGTAGACCCAGCTAAATACTCTACCCACCCCAAGTCAAGAGGATGGAGGGGATTCGTGGGAGTTTAGAAGTCAGTATAGTCTGCTACTCAGATCCATTTGCCCAAGAAAACAAAGTACAAATGGTGCTCACCTGCAGGCTACAGCCACTACCAAAAGCTTCCAGCCCTCCTGTCTTGTGAGGAGAGTGTTTTACAGGGATTGCAGCCCGTGTACTTCATTGACGACAGCCAGCCTCCTAGGGTTACTAGTCTCCGGGTGGGGATTGGAGCCCCCCGGGGTTACATTGGAAATGTCTCACCACATCAACATCAATTCCCCCCTCTCGTGGCAGAAAAGGGCTGCTGGTGGGAGGTCCCACTAATCTGGGAGATCTGGCAGCCCTGCTAGCAAGTCTGGAATTAGCAACAATGATCCCTCTGGAAATGGAAATCTTTTCTTTTTTATGCAAGAAGAATGAGAGTAGCTAGATGGGGTGGACTCTGAGGCTCGATTATGGATTTGTCCTTCTATGCTGCAGACAGCAGTACTCAATATACTTTAGTCCCATAAACCAGGGAAAAAATGTGTTGCTTATTTCTGGTTCTAAAAATAGTTTGAGATAATTTCATGTTGTTCATTGCTTATTTCAGGCCCAGACACAACTCAGTAGGCGCTGGGCAACCCCACTCTTTTCAATACCAAACAGATAGCAAAATAGGAACCTTATAAATAGGCTGCCATATATGGGCTTTGTTTGACTTGTGGGTGCATCTGACTTATCTGGATGGTGATCCTTTGCTGTTCCATGGACAGTGCAGAAACAAATGTCACAGAATGTAGAAAAAGAGAGTTGAAATATAGAGCTAATGGGGGACAAAGGAATATACATAAATAATCATGTGCCCCATTCTGTTCCTCCTAGCACCCTGACGACAAAAGGGTATAGTCTATCATCCAGATTCAGACAGGTCATTTTACTCTAAATCTATAGGAATGAAGACTTCAGAAAGTGTTCAAACAAACTAAACTCCCCTATTTCATTATTTGCTTAGCATGCAGAGGCACTCTCAAATGAGAAATATAAGGGTGCTTTCAATCCACTTTTGATGCACTTTGCTACTTGATTTTACTGTGTGAAATGGGAAAATCCAGTTACGAATGATTGCTAAAGTGTATTGAAAGTGGGTTGGGAGTGCATTATTCAGCATGTGTGAATGTGTAAGAATGAACAATCATTTTAAAACAATGAAACACAATGTTGATGTGCATGTTTCAGGCTGATGTTGCTTTCACAACAATTGTAACTGAGCCAGACTGAACTGGGAGAATATTATAAACACTACTTAACTGCAGATCACCCATGTTTACTTGAAGCACATCCTGGGCGGTTCTCTGAGTTTCCTCCTCAGCCAGAAGTGTCTCTGGCTACACCCAAGTTTAGATCTTACAAGATCCTTAGATTAAAATTAGTGCATAGATGGCTAAATTTAGATGCTATGGCATAAAACAAGGTAGCTGCAAGATCCCATTATCTTGTTTACCTGGTCTAATTTGGAAAACACAAAAAGGTACAGATAATGTACTAGCCCACTATATTTTATACCTTCAGCATTTATAAATGTGGAATAGGTATTTTAAGCTCACAGATATTGTTTACCTCCTTTATTTTCAATCAGTAGTTAAGAAATGCATCTTGGGTCTCTTATGAGTAAAATATGGACTTATAAGAATTAAGGATGTGCTTTTAAATTATCTGGCTTTGAGTGCAATAGCACCTTAGAGACTTTTTTTGGGGTATAATCTTTCAAGAGTCAATGCTCCCTTCATCAGATGCAGGCCTCAAAAGCTCATACCCCGAAAACCTGGCTGGTCTCTAAGGCACCACTGGACTTGAATCTAGCTGTTCTACTGCAGACCCAACATGGCCACCAGTGCCGAATTTACGCATAAGCTAAATAAGCTACAGCTTAGGGCCTCGCAATCTGCTGGGGCCTCAAATAAAAAAACCAATATAAAAATGATTTCAAATATTAAAAAGGCGTATATATTTTAATTTTTTCTGAGACCAGCTGATGTAATTTAAAACAGTAGGGGGCCTCTGGGTTTTGTATAGCTTAGGGCCTCAGCAAGTCTAAATCCGGCCCTGATGGCTACCCTCTCTCAGCCCCACCTGCCACACAGGGTGTCTGTTGTGGGGAGAGGAGGGGAAGATGATTGAAAGCTTCTCCGAGACGCTTTTGGGTAGTGAAGGGTGGGGTATAAAATCAACTCATCTTCTTCCTCCTCCTTCTACTTCTTCTTCCAACTTGCATTAATACAAAAGACAGTCATTATAAAATGATTATAAAATAATTTAGAGGTATTTGTTAAGTGTCCATAATTTGGATAGAATATCGGGCTCTGCAACATATAACTGTGGGAGATACAGTTTACCGTATGTATTTTCCCCATATTTTTGGTAGGGGTGTCTAGAAATGACAATCTGGAAATTCTAACTAGTACAAATTTTAAAGCTTGTAATGTATAACTCAGTTTATTACATAGAAGGAGAATTTTTATTGATTTTTTCCTGCTGCCAGTTAAGTGAAATATTGTTGCTAAACTAGTATTTTATGTCTGAAAAAACTAACATGTCTGCAGTCTTCAACTTTAGGAATTCCTGCACTGAGATAATAGTTGTAGTATCAGTCTATGATTTAGTTGAGGTATAATGTGGAACTATGGGCTATTTTAATTATGGTTCACTGTGAAACAAGAGTCCATTCACAGATTATCATTCAAATCCTGCTTTGCATTAACAGATGCTGGCTTTATTGCCTTTACTCTTTTTTCCAGAGACCATAATCTGAATTGTGATGAGGACACAGGCCAGCATTAACCAAAGAAGGTCCACGTTCATGCATCATGCAAAACCATTATTCAGACTCACTGTGATTTACAAACCAGCTTCAGACGATGGTTTCAGAGACTGGTTTGACAGACAAGTTAATTATCAAAGCTAGTGAAGTGGCCTATATTCAAACAAACACACTAACCACTGTTAATTTAATTAAATCATGGTTTCTCATGAGCTGAGCCTATGCAAATGTGGGCATCAGTGTCAGAAGCTTGGGAGCAGCATAAAGCAAAGAGCCTCACGCATGCACACATATACACACAAAACTTCAGGCATGGGGGCAACCAAGAAAAGAGAGTAGAAAGGGCAAAGGTTGTGTCAAACCGGAAGAGTAAAATGAAAGCAAGAAAATATATCTCTTGATTTTGCATTTGTCATACAGTTCCCATGAGAAGGTATCACTTAGGTCCAAACTAGGTGATATGGCATCCCTGTCATTTTGAAGCAGCGACTTCACACCAGGGAACTCCTTTTAACTGTGCTGCAAGGCCTGATTGTGGTCTGGACTTAGGGTTCCCAGCTTCCAGGCAATGCTCCCTCTAAGCTGTGGAGTATTGCGAGCAAAAATTCTACTTTGTGAACTACTGGCATTAAAGTTGTGAGTGAGCGATTTGGCTACTGCATAGACTAGTTTGCTCAGGAGCCATCCTTCCTGAGCGAATACAAAAAATGTGTGAGCTGGAGGCTAAAAAACTGAGCTAGCTCACACTAACTCAGCGTAGAGGGAACACTGCTTCCAGGTAGTGGCTGGAGATCTCCTGGGATTACAATGAAACTCCAGGTGACAGAGATCAGTTCCCCTGGAGAAAATGGCCACCTCATAACCTGACCTCCTCAGGCTCCACCCCCAAAATTTTCAGGTATTCCCAAACCCAGAGTGGGCAACCTATCTGGACCACCACACTGCAGGGGAAGGAGGGTCTTCTGCCTACCCCACTGCACTCTTTTTCTAATTTGAAATGGCACCAGGGGTTTGTTCTTTGTCCATGTGCCCTTTGGTGTTGTTTTAGTTAAGAAAAAATGGTGTGGAGGGAATGCAGGAGCTACTCCTCCCCCATGACACAGTGGTCCTGCCCAGAATTGGGTCCTGCAGTGCAGTTCAAAGGAGTTCCCTGCTGGGAGCTCACTGCTTCAAAATGACTATGCATCCCAGGGCAACCATCTATATATCTAATTCCAACAGGGGGCAGGTTGTGCGGATACGCTTTTCTGCCAACAGAGGGCTCACTCTCCCCCAACAGCTTTTCCTACATAGTCAGTAGACTTCCTGTTTCTGCAGAAAAATCCAAGAAGTAAAAATCCCTTCAGGGAGGGTTGAATTCCCCCCAATATCTTTTGAAATGGCCTCTGCAGGGATCTAACTCCAGGCATCAATGGTGAGAGAGAGATTAGAACGTTCGAGGGGGGGAGGCTTCTAACTGGCTCTGTCAGTAAACGGGTGGGGGGAGGGCCCTTTCCTGGCCTCTTTTGGAGAAGGGAACGAGGGAGGGAGGGAGCCTTGGGGGCAGGCCTCAAACGCGC